TTGGTTGTCCCATTAGCTTACTTTGCTGCGAAGTACCTCTCGTTATAAGCATAAACTCGCTATAAGAATAACAATGTCCGGTCCCAACGATATGCTTATAACGGGAGTAATATGTAATTAGTAACGGAAACGGCAATGAGAATTTAACCGTTCCTACTTCTCCCCTTCTGCTTTGTATTCTGGGATCCGTACTTCCATGAATTCGACAGTGTATCGACCTGCCGCGTTTTACATGTTGGTAATAAATGTATTTAGCGTATATTTAGCGTATTAGTACTACTTTCCAAATATCAAAAAAACAAGGCCTCACTGTCCATAATTACTTTAGATATCATCACATGTCAGTAGGTATTCGGCCCGGCGAGGTTTTTCCATTTACAACAAATGCGAACGAACGAGATGGCCGTGGTAATGATGTCCGCGGCAGAACCCTTCATGACTATATTCACGGCCAACACTGGCCAAGGCGTTGAACGAGAGAAAGAACTAGGTCAGGAAGGAAGGGCAAACAAATTGATCAAAGCCGCCGCAAGAAGGAAAAGAGATACATACAATGAAATTCCAAGCCATGATCTCTTTGCAATTGATAGAGGATATATGGATGGCCCTCATCACCCCCGCCAGGATCTATCTACGTGGGGCGTAAGAGATGTTGACAACTTCGGTTGACAGCTAGCCATGCACAGCAAGCAGTGAGGACTCTCCATCGTCAGGTTTATCAGATCTAGACACGGCGATACAGGAACAATCGTTCACGTGCCTGGAGTGGCCTCAGGCACGTCAATCAATACCTATGGCTAACATCTAGCCTGGTCAAAACCAAGTTACGCCTTGGGATAACTAGCAACAACGTTTGTGGTCCATGCCTATGTATTTTCATTGTACTAAGCGTGGCTTACCTAGGCTGTTGAGAAATTCCATTAACAATGTACATACACATCGGATTTTTGTGGCAGATCAAGTGAATCAATGCTGTGCGAATCTCAATTTCATTTCCACATGCTCAGCTTACATAGTATGTACTTTTTCATAAAGTTCTGAGTTGGATATCACTGTAAAGACTATCAAACTCGTGATATACATAAGAATGTTGAGATTCAAAGACCAAAATGTAACCTATCGGGTAAACCGGATACCTATCTATCTCCATCCCCATGGTGTGAATATGGTGGTGTAGCATGGACGAAGATGCGGGATTCGATTAATATTGAATTCCACCGAAACGTAGGCGTCTTACCTCAATCGCTCACTTTAACATATAATAATGCACATCATCTCCAAAACCGAATTTGACGACCCTAGCGGGCAGTACGCAAGTTCACAGGGATGGTGATTCGCGCCGGGGCCAGAAAACATCTGCAGCAATCATTGGCTTTTAGCGAGTTGTTCAGCGCTATAATTGGAAGACTTAGCTACACGAGTCAAACTCTTTCCGTATTACATCATCGTTACAGGCAATATGGCCGAGTTGGTTATGGCGCCAGGTTAAGGAACACCTTAATTCACATCTCCTGGTAGGGAAACCTGCGTGGGTTCAAGTCCCACTGTTGTCACTATTCTTTTTACCCTTTTGCTTTGGCTTTTGGATCGTTTGAGCTCTGATAATTACACGGGAGTGTAAACGAGGTATAGGTTGCTTGCTTTTTGGTACTAAATGACACCTATCCGAGTTCTCTGAGTTAGTTATTTGATACTTTTTTACGCGGAAATGTAATCCTTTTGTGGATAGTTGGCGTTAAATGTTTCGCATGTGCCCTCGCTAGGAATTGTTTTACAAACGTCCAATGGAGATCACTCTCGACAAAGATATCCATTCCTGTATCATCGTAACTGATCATCTGTAGCCAGGATAGATCATCTGTAGGATTATCTGTACCCCCTTTAGATGCTATTTCAGGTTAGTCTCGTTCCCTTTCAGGTTGGAGTTGAAAGTTACCCAACTAGGAATGACATGCCTACCTGCACTACCACTGCTGGTAAGCACGCTAATGCACCTCCAATGAACCCCATACTTCCCGACTTTGCATCTGCTGACCCACCCGCAGCGCGCATGTGCCCCCTCCCCCTGCATGCGCGTGTCCCTCCTTGGATACCATGTGTTGATGTCGGACGCTCGTGACGGTCAGCTATTCAAACTTCCGGCACTTCTACGGTACCTTCAAAGTGCTCGCCGACACACACCCGCAGGCTGCATGTACCCTGGGTAGGTAGGTACCCGGTTGGACGTGCATGTGCAAACCTCACAAGTGCCTCACGAGCAGATATTGCTCACAAGTCTGAAATGGAACTGAAAACGAACTTGTCCTCCGTAGGAGGGGCTGGGCACGAGACTACTTCTTGTCGGCAGTTAGGTACCTAGATCAGGTACCTTGTACCCCAGATTTGTCGGGTGTCATATACGAGTGATGTGGTCACGAGAATAGGTGATGTGTAGCAATCCTCGCAGTAGGAGGGGCTGGGTTCGAGACTGGGGGCTGGGCACGAGACTATCCGCGCATATCCTCGCATGCGTCTTCGGCAGCTGGCAAAGGACGCAGCGACACACGTGTTAGCGCGCCACGAAGTACCGTGAACGCTGGCGATGCTAAGATAGGAAGGGAGTGAAAGCACATCGCCGCCCACCCGCTTCCCGTTAAAATAACTCACTCTGACTTGGCACACGGGTCCGAATCGCATAAATACCGCCCGTTTCCCCCACGACCCTCCCACAACCTCAACAACAACACACACACACACACACACACATCGCACCCAGTCTCGACATCACACCCATCAGTGGCAGACCCTGTCTCGACATCACACCCACCAGTGGCAGATGGAAATGCCGTTATTGAAGAGCTTCGCAAAGGAATGCGAGCGCTGCAGGCAAGCATCCAAGCGCTTCAGCAAAGCAACCAAGCGATTCGGGGTGGCATCCAAGTGTTGTAGGAGCAACAGTTGCACACCAGGCTGGAGCAGAAAGAGGGCCTGGAGGCTCTTTGTCGGGAGTATGATTGATTACATCCTGCTTATCTGAATTAGACCACTAACGATAACAAATAGGGTAAACTTGAACCCCATGAGGCGAGACTGCCCATGAGGCTCCATAACATGACGCGGACCGTCGATGCGGCATTGGAATACCAACCCAACGTACGCCATGTAGTCTCGTGCCCGCCCCATGCGCACCTTCCACGCGCCTCCACGAGGGTCTGGGCATGAGACTATCCACACACGAGAGCGCCATGCTACCGTTTGAGTTGTATGTCCGCTGACCCCATCATCCATTATCTGTTCTGCTTCTGTCGGGTTGCTGATTTCACACACATTGTCCAGTGGCGCAGTATCGAGCTGCCGCACATCAACTGCGAAGGAAGCATCGGGAGTGAGTCGGCGGGGGAGTCGCATCTTGAGTGCGGTGCTTGCCCAAGTTATCCAACCCTGTGAACCTTCCCGCCTCCCAGGTTTCCCCAATTCATCCAGTCCTCAATCTTCCCGTCTTCCAGCCTATTAAGCGCAATTTACAGCCCAATAAATCCAGAGTCCTCAATTTTCCCGCCTTCCAGCATATTGAGTCTCCACCGAAACATTTCAACAACATAAACAATCTTTCAAAATGCCAGTATCTATTTGCGCCTATATTCTCGGCTTTCTGGTTGCTGTGGGTTGCCTCGTGGTTATTTGAGTTTTTTTTCCTTTTTCATGAGCCCAAGAAAGGCAGAGAGTGTATACTAATTCATATATCTGCCCTTCCAGCAATAGCGCGGTGCGCAATCCACCGACGCAAACGAGACGCCTGCTTCCCACGCACTTGCCCGGAGATCAACAATCCCTTGGCAATGTTGCTCGGGAGGACCCCCCTGCGAGGGGTTCATCTTCTTGGAGATCACCTTCCTTTCGCAACACGAGGTCAACGACGCACACACTTGGGAGGATTTCTTGTTTGGCCGGAATGGGGTGGGGAATATGTTGGTGCGGGAGATGAGGGAGGAGTTGGCGGAGGAGCGGGCGGCGTGGGAGAAGCATCAGGCGGCGTGGAGGGAGGAATGGGGGCTGCAGAGGGAGTTGCGGGAAAAGCGGCAGTCTTCTTTTTTTGTTCATTATTGTCTACTGAAGTTCTGCCTCGCACAGCAGCAACAGGACCATTTCCCAAATTCTTTTACTCGTGATCCATATTGAGATACCGTAGACATTGACAAACACGGCACTACGGCCGCTTCAGACTGTAAATCTTGGTGTAAATGGTATTCTTTTACGTTTTTCAGAAACCCAGACATGAATGAGATAGCTGTCTTGCTCACCACTCTCTACGGTACTGTAGTTTGCATAACATGCCGAATGCTAGTTCAGAACTGTCATTGAACCCCTGCGTGATAAAGGTTGTCGTGCTCATTGCATGGCTGGAAATACCCAAGCAAGGAAGATTAATTGTTGTACACTTGACTACACCGGTTCCTGGATTGAAAACGACCCATAGCCTCAATAGTTTGACCCCTAAACCTCAGAAAAGCCCGAGTTGGCGCTATCGGCGCTACAGCCCATCGGAGCAGTCTACCGCTGCCGCGACAATCGAGGGAAGGCATGTCGCTACAGCGCCAAATCGATCGGCCGTGGAGCTACAGCGGCAAGTTGACTTCTGCTGAGATGAATGCTATGTATATGCAAGCATAATCGCCCTATAATCTCACGCATTCCTCGTCCTCCTTACCCCCACTCCCTCGCATCCCATACATTGCTCCAATTCCGCCCATCCGTAGCCTCGTCCCGCCCATCCGCACGTAATAGCCATTGATCGTTAATACTTTCCCAGATGTGTTAACATATACCATGTACGTTAGGTAGTCTCCATCCTATCCCTAATCCAATCCTCATTGAAAACGCAGCATCATCCCACCATTCTCCCACAACACATCAAAAACCCCAATTGGCGTACTCTATGTGTCATCTGAAATAAATAAATAAAACCCCAACCCAAAAAAGCAAAGAAAAGGAACGCAGCTCGAGGAAAAAAAAAATGTAGATTCCGTCACCGGGAATTGAACCCGGGTTCTCAGAGGACACATCACATGTGTGTTTTGACCACTAAGTAGGTAAGTACTTGGGGGCGGGACAAATGAATGAATGAGAGTCTGAAATGCTAGCCACTACACCATGACGGATGGGGTTATGTGTGGTTTTTAGTTGAGTGGTTTGGTTGTGGATTGTATTGAGTGGAGTGAGTGGTGGTTGCGAAGGAAAATTGTTCCACGTGCTTGAGCTTAAGCTCCAACACCCACCCTGGGCCATGCATGATTCACGTCTGCCCCTGGAAGTATGGGAATACTATTACAATGATACCGGTCAAGGTATGTAGAGTGGAAACCATATACATGACAGCGTGCCCGGCCAATCCGTTTCCTTAGGTACTCTCACGACTGAGTGGTGAGGGGGACACTGGTGCATGCGGGGACGGTGGTAGAGTAGAGGGTTGTAGTGACGGTTGTAGGTAGTAGGGAATAGGCTTGTGGCTACATATGGTACAGCGGTTTGGACAATTGTCGTGATGGTTAGTTACTACACAACCAACAACGGACGCTTGATGATCCACGCAGGACTTGATCCCAACCATACCCTGGGATCGGCACTTGATCCTATGATCTAGTTTTAGTAGATCAAGACATCTACGACCATAGACTGAAGACAACGAGGCATCCCGTCCGCTCTGCCATATCTAAGCTTCAGATCGCCAGGTTAGTACTACGGTGGGTGACCACGTGGGAATCCCTGGTGTCGTAGGTTAGCTTTTCTTTTTTTTTCGTCTTCTTTGTTTTGCCATTTTAGGGGAATATATAGAGCAGGTCGATCATGATTGCTACATGTATGTATTAGATGACTCGGTTCACGGAATTCATCAGAGTCTGGAACCATGGGCGGCGGGCGAAGGGCCGTGGATTTGGTTGGTTGCTATCGTAGTCGCGAGTGTTATCCTTTATCCTCAATACTGCTCTCCGAGTCCCATTTTCTTCCATACATACCTATGTATGTACTCACACATCCATGTAACTGAATGCCCTTCCTCGTCTGATTCATCTACCTTCTGTTATCCTCATCTCCCTGGTGGCTTTTACTAGCATACACAACGAGACCACTTTCAATTGTCAGGTTTATCTCGTCTACATATACACACAAGTTCCCGTTTTAAACATACCCGATTCTCTCTAATTTCGTTATCATGATACAATTTCAACCCGTGAAACCACATGGGCTTCTTAGCCTATATTCAATTGTGAAAAGAATACTTGTGCTGTGCCGCGTAGTATTGTGCCGCTGTGCCGCCCGTGGCGGCACAAGCCCTGTGCCTGTCACTTTCAAAGGCACTTGCACTCCATAGAATGCACTAGCATGTTCTTGCCCTGCAACTACAATGCCAAACACCACTTCAACTTCAACTTCAACCAACTCCTGCAAAAGCTATACAGTTTCAGAACACAGAGCAAGAATTGGGTCTTATTGAAACATGTCTCCACTTTCATTTGGTACCTCTCCCGTTGCGATTGCAGTCGATTTGATGGAGCTATCGCAAATAAAATATATAGGTACCTTATAAAGTAGCCAATATCAATACATATATCGATTTCACCTCCCGCGGTAGCCACACAATTTCAGATCATTGAGCGAGCGTCAAGTCTTACCAATAGAACCGTGTTTTTTTATCTTTCATTTGGTACCATTCTTGCTACATTTGGAGTTAATCTGGTAGGGTTATGGCCATTTGGTGTACAAAGATGGCTAAGCAATGTACCTGTACCTGTCTAACTGCATTTAAGAGTATACGTTCGAATACTATATTGGCGCTCTATACTTCGAATTCTATTCTCCCCACTTTTTTTATTTCTTGCCCTCTCTTGTGTTCTTTTCATTTACAACAACAGGGCTGCACCATTTCGGCAGAATCACAAATCTGATTAGACTTTATTATCGTATCTGATATTCCATCTTATCTTATCTTATCTTATCTGGCGATCCGGAGGGGCTGGGCACGAGACTAGCGACATATGACCAAGCGAAAGAGCGCATTTAGGGCCCATCCAGACTCGCAGCAAGCATGAAATTGCCACGACTGCCGCTCCCCCCTCTATCATCTCCACTCTCCTCCTCCATCGCCTCCACCGTCACCACCACCATCACGACGGCCACGCCGCCACCACCACCACCACCACCACCACCACCAGCACCACTTCTGCTCAGCAACCACACTCAATTGCAACAGCCTCCCGACAAGAACAGTCGCCACGACAGCACTGTCCACACTCCTTGCCATCGCCTTCCCTGCCATGGCCTCCGCGTACGCGAGCCCCCGCGATCCCGTGCTGCGGATGACTCTCGTGACTATAGTTGCTGACAAAGTGCGGCGCGGCTGATTCACCAGTCAGGGCGCTTGCTGCCAGACGCCTGCCCCCTGCCGCCATCATGGGATGCACGCCAGCCATGGCTGTCGCGCCGGCAAACGTGGCTGCGGAACCCATCGCATTGTTGTGGCCGAGGGTTTTCGAGCTTCGGGCCCTTCTGGGATCGTTTGAGAATAAAATGGACGATCGCATGACTGGGCTTGAGAATAGCTATAGCATGGAAACATTCCCGCAAAGGATGGAGGCCACGCTGTCCCCTCCATTCAAAATTTCATCAAAAAGGCCCAAGTGGAATTCACCGTTGTTGGGAAGGATAAACATGTTGGGTTGCCGTCTGATGTTCTGAAAGGAGGTTTCTACGCTTCTCTGGTACGTTGTTGTGGCGGGAAGGAATGCTATGGCATCGACCTAGGCGTTGAAACGTTGGCCTCCGCTGTTGTAGACAATGTCATTCCGGGGAAAGAGGAGGTGGCGTTGAACTGCAGGCACAGGTGAAACAGTGCCACTGGGATTAAGGATGCGGCGGACTTGCGAAGATCCGAGGATAGACATGTAATCACCACAACATCCCTCATCAATATCCCCCCGCCCGGATCTCCTCAATCCCCCCCCCGAATTTCCTCAATCACTCAATCCCAAAAAAACCATTCCCACAAAATGAAGTTCTCCACACAATTCCTCATCCTCATTGGGTACGCAGCCCCAGACGAGCTCGCAGCCCACAAAGTGGTCAAGGAAGGTGAACTCGCGACCATAATGGAACTACTCCACAGCATCAGTTCCGCGGTTCTAAAGCAGTGATCGCATGCTGCCTTTTTCTCCTTCTTGTTTTTTTTCTCGTGCATTTCTCATTCTCTTTTTCTCTACTTCTTTCCTTTGCTTTTTCTTATTCTTTTCCATACGTTGTATTATTTTATTTCTTTTTTCTCTCTTCTTTTCCTTTTCTCATCTGTTCTTTTCTATTCGTTATTTTCTTGTTTTTTTTTTGCAAAGGAGTGATCGCACATGAGCTACCTTTCTATCCTCTTGTCCTAATTTCCTCGTGCATTTCCCACCCCCCCTTTCCATTCCTTGCTTCCTTTTTTTTTTCCTTCTTCTTTTATTCTTCAAATATAAATCTTCTCTCCTTCATTCTCTTCGCTTTTCCCTTCCCTTCCATCTTTGTTTTCTCTGTATCTTTTACTATCGTGAGCAGAGCGTGGGCTCTCGTCTCTGCCTATGGGCCGAGGCAAAATTTCTACCGCTGTGTCACAGACGCAATATCAGATTGATAGACTAATAGTGTATCCTTGGACTACCAACGTCGGACTTTTAGGTTCAATGTTTTCGAGATACACCACCGCGAACGTAATGCATACTGTTCTGAAACATAACCCAAATTCCTCCCCCTAATCGCCAGCACATGTGGGGCCAGGTTTGTCCATGGGCCATGTCATCCCACTAAACAAAGAAAGGAAAGTGAAACCCACAATGGCCACGGCCACTTCCAGGGCCACTCACTAGGCGCACGCCCTCCTAAGCCCTATATCTACTCGCTCGGCCGCGTAAACATCCACTCACCCACCAAACTACTCTCCATCACCATTCAACGCACCCATCCATTTATCTGCCCAAGAAAACCCATAACTTACCCCAGAACAAAACTCCACTACTATACGAAGAATATGCCTTCACCATCTAAACCCACCCCTACCCCCTCTCCCAAGGACGAACCTAAATGGCTTCCTCTCACCACCGCACTCACTTCCCCCCCACCCCCTCCTCCCCCTCCATCCCCTACCTCTCCACCCTCAAAGCCAACCCACCACCTACCCCTCCCCCAACTCTCCCTCGAAATGATCCTTCCCTATGCATCATACCCATCCCCTCGTGCATCAATCACATTCCCGCCCGCAAAAACACTATCCCCTACTTTCCTTGCCCCTCCGAGGGCGGATGAGAGTGTATTCACGGCATTACCGCCGCCAGCAATGGAGCTGCCGAATCATGAGGGAGGAAAGAGAAAAGGGAAGGAGGTGGTTTCGCCGGGGAAGTGGATTACGCTGACGGCGAAGCCGCCCGTTGGTATTTGAGGAGGATGAGGTGAAGAAGGAGAAAGAGAAAAAGAAAGAGAAGAAGTAGATGAGAATTAAATTAGTTGGGGATGAGGAGGAGAAGGAGGCGGTTTTTCCTACCTTTTTATTTATATATTTAATATTCATCGAACGCTAAATAAATGTCTTTGAATCATGATTATTGTTTTGTGTTTGGGCGTTTTGAGAAAATCCTGAGAATATAGGATAGATACCTTGCCGTGACGAGACCTAATTATATACTTGGATTTTGATTTTTTTCGATAATGTATGACATATTCATGCCCGCGCGCGCACACGTACACATGAATGTTGTACTGCGTTGCACTATTTGGCAAGTGAGATAGCTTTATACCTAATGGGAACTTGAACTTTACAAAAAGGTGGGTCCCGGATCAAGAAATCGGTTTAGGCAAAGAACGGCCAATATTCTGAGCCGTTCAGCAAGATTTGAACATTGCGGAATGGTTCGAAACCGTGGAGCACCATTGTCGAATGGTTAGTCTTGCTCAATGGCTCAAACTGCTCATCAATGCTCACTCACATGCCCAGCCCAACCAGCAATGCGAGTACATAACAGGAATACGACGTGGGGTACGTAGTTCTGTGGTAGACAACAGCTTATAACCTCGGATGGGCATGTTGTATGTATATTTGCGCTGTAAATATGTATAGAGCTTTGGGGTTATAACATCCCAAATGAGGATCAAGTATCACACCACGCGCTGCCAGCTCCCAGAGAATGTTGTCATTGATGTAAGGAACGTAATTGTGGAAGCGAACATAGAGATTGAATTTGGTAATATTTTATAGCGCTGGTCCACCACGGCACTCATAGATCGGCATTGAGGTATATAGACTTGGATGATGAGCAATGCTTCATATTGAAAATGAAAGCTTTGAATTCCACAAGGGGGGGTAGGTAGCTTGTTAACATTGCAACAATCACGTGCGTTGACCGGCACAGATACGGAACTAATCAGTGCACGGCGGCTGGACGACGCGAATAGCTGTAGAATAGTGATTTGCAAAGGGAGGCGAAAGTTGATTTCATGGGAAGGAAATAAAAAAAGATTTGATACCCTGCGACACCAGAGATTGCATGTTATCTATCTATCACCCACCGTAGACTTCCTCTTCAGGGATAGATAGCGTGGGATCAAGTTCAGGCAGGGGGGGGGTGTCAAATGTTGGTCGGGGAAGACGCAAAAATATTATCACCTACGACACCAGGGATTCCCACGTGGTCACCCACCGTAGTACTAACCTGGCGATCTGAAGCTTAGATATGGCAGAGCGGACGGGATGCCTCGTTGTCTTCAGTCTATGGTCGTAGATGTTCATTACACCATTTTGGCCTTCATATAGCGCACGCACTGGACGCCCTAGAATTGTGTTCGGACGCCCACATACCTACCAGACTGGCAGCGCACTAGGGAGGTTTAGAGGACTCACGTCCACGGACTAGCAGTAGTTGGATTTTGTTCCCATGCCACAGCAAATTTAAAATTGCAAAGGAGGGCGGCAGCAATTTTACTCACAACCACTGGCGGGGTGTTTGCTGGTAGATTTGGTGAATGGGGTTGAAAGCCCTACAATTCACAGGCGGGTTTACTCACGGACGGTTGCTTAGGAGGAGGGGTTAGGATAAGGTTTGTTACTATATACATATTGGACAGGGTAGCCCATTTAAGTAAGTACATCTTGGCAAAGGTAGGTAGATGTTTGTAAAGTCCCTTCTACAAAGGGCACACAAACGAATTAGGTATCCATCTACACCTTACCTTTCTTCATCTGCCTTTTTTTTTTTTTGAACAAAACTACATACATATATATCTTAGTTATCACCGTTGGAAGCTATAGTGGTTTTTAGCGCATCGGTCAACGGCGCATTGAGGGATACATTTGTCGCACAATAGAGCTATTACATAGGGGCTTTCTGTTTTAAAAGTATGTATGTGCATTACCCCCATGGCCAATTCTGAATTTCTCAACTCCGAATCCACAACATCCATCATGTGCTATTGTCGTACCTATCTCGTGCTCAAACTCCACTTTCATATATTATCCTGTATTGTACAATGTATAATGCCAGTGATCAAAGTGTACAAGTGTCAACTTAATGATCTACAAATGTAAATCGCGCAGGAACAAACTAATTTTTTGCAAAGTAAATTGTAAAAGTAAAACAATCGAATAGTATAGCGGCCTTGAACAGGTTTATAAGTAGACAATGTGTATATGTATATATGCGATCGACCCAACCCAAGATCGCATATAATACAATTATTCACTCAACTTTTTAGTAAAGTAAATGATAACCTATGATTATATATATGTCTTGATCCAGATTCAGTCCTTTCAAACAAGAATTGCTCCAGAGCAAATTCTTTGAATAATAGTGTGTTCCTGAGCAGATGTTGCAAATGTTTGTGCTCCTTGCATCACCAAGAATTGAGTGCACTCCGTTGCAACGGAACGCATCACAACGCCGTGCGCCCCAGATTTCCCTCGCCTTTCCTTACAACGCTACAACGAACGCAATCATGACCTCGAATCCGCACACGAAATCACTCGCGAATCCACCGTTATATCCACATACGAGTTCACTCGCGAGTCCAGCCTCAAATTGACCTCCGAATTCACTCCCAATTCAACTCCCAAATTCACATACGAATCCACCCCCGCATTCACGGCCAAATCGACCGCCAAATCCACACACCCGCGAATCCACTTACGCATCCACTCGCGAAGAAACTCGCTCATCTCATGCCTTTGTCAGTCCGGGTCTACGTTCAATACGCGGCTCGCTTACGTACTGCACGATGCATACATCAAATGTCGCCATCGGGAATGAAGACACTTGGCCTGTATGAGAATGACGGTATATAACACGCGAGCATGCGCACGTACCTAAGTACCTACATCTAAAATCATATCCATGTGCAATGCAATATCGACATCTCGTTTCAGTCCGCCGCCATTCATGAAACTCCCAGCCACAGATTGCAATACAGCTTGCCGACGCGGCAGGGAGAAGGGAAAGTGCTGGAATTGGAAGGGGATGGGCAACGTTTGTCCGGCTTCGGTGGACACGGGGCCGGGGGAGCACGTGAGCCGGCACTGCAGGCAGAGATACCTTTTCAGGTAGGTACCCGCTCCGGGATATGTGCGCACGCAGGCAAGCACGCAGCCAAGCCCCAACGGTCGGGATCGATTCTCTTCCCTCCTCCATCCTCCATCCCCACGCCCATCTCCGCCCCCATTCCCACCCCCGACCGGCCCCTGCCATCCCCAGCACGCGGCATCACATCAGCAAAATTAACGGCGATGAGGTACAGGCATCTGGTCGTCGTCGTCTTCGGCGCAGCCATGATCTTTCAACTGGCCGTGCGCGCTTCGGGCGGTGTCGAGGCCACGCCGTATGTTCCCCTGGCGGGCCCGATGACCGGATCGCCCACGAGGGCACCCGAAGCGCCGGCGGGACGTCAATGTGGTGCGTAAGGCCTTCATCTGCTCTTGAATGTTATCTCTGTGCTAATCTACCGTGGTCGAGCGAGTAGGAACAATTACCACGATCGTCCAAACTGTGATCGCAACCTCCCCCCCAACCACCACCACCATAACCGAAACCCCCCCCCAGGCCACAATCACCATCACCGCATATGAAGCCCCACCGCCCAGTACTGATGGTAGGGGGACGGATTGGTCCGGTACGTTGTTTAGTGGTTTCCACTCCACCGTGTTTGGAATCACCGTCATCATCTCCTCATACCTCTGGGGTGGGGGGAAGGAGAGGGCGGACAAGAAAGAGAAGAGAAGGGAGCAGAAAAAAAGCGAGAGGGAGAGGGTGAGGGAGGAGAGGGCGGACAACAGGGAGCGGGAGAAGGAGAAGGAGGCGGAGGCGGAGAGGGAGAGGGTGACGGAGGAGAAGGCGGAGAAGGAGAAGGAATAGTGTGAGGGAAGAGATGGAGAAGGGGAAGCAGAGAGTGAGGGATGAGAAGGAGAAGGAGGCGGAGAAGGAGGCGGAGAGGGAGAGGGTGAGGGAGGAGAAGGCGGAGAGGGAGAGGGAAAGGGATGAGAGGGAGAAGGAGGCGGAGAAGGAGGCGGAGAGGGAGAGGGTGAGGGAGAGAAAGGAGAGGCAAGAGTTGGCCAAACAGCTCCAGGATGCTCTGAAACGGGCTGCGTTCCTGGCGGGTTTGCTCCACGCCCGAGGCTATAGCGTAGTCTCGTGCCCACTATAGCGGGATGGACCGGGTGGCCAGACGCGGACCGTGGCCCTAGGTTTGGGAACATGGGCACGGCAAAGAGGGGGGCCGGGGCGGGGTTGTTTTTGTAGCCTGAATGTAACATGAGTATAAATGAATGTTATTTTCGAATCACTTTCCGCGGATCCGAACATTGCTTCAGCCATTTGTACAGCAGATTCAAGAGTGCTAGCTACGTATACAGTGATGGTATATGGTTTACCATCCCATGCCGCAGTCGCATAGATGTATGTGTGTTCCGGAGCATCTTCCGCCCTGGTACGCAGCAGGGCACACTCCTCCACGCAGCCACGACGGAAGTGCTGCACAGAGGCATTTCCTGCACCACCAAAACCCGGCAGCGCGCTCTTCCTCCTCCTGCGCGCGTGCGCTCGCCCCAACGCCGCACGTCACCCAGTCTCGAGCCCACTTCACCCACCCCATCGAAAGCTGAGCACGCACCGATAGACCTTGCAGCTCGTGCATCCCAGAGTTTCCAGGCCAAGACGCCGCGGCCCTGAACGCCGCGACCGACGCGCTGAGCACTCCCAGCGCTCGGGAACAGCAAGATTTTGACAAAGAAAAGAGGACGTAGAAGAAGAAACACTAAAAACGAGGCTTACTTCCCCGAGAAAAACATTACAAGCGTCCTCCCTCCACCGTGCCGGCCGGAGGTAGAATTTGCAAAGACTTGGGGAAGATAAGCAACGCCCACCACAGACATTACCAACAAGCCCGGTTGGCTCAGTCGGTAGAGCGTGTGACTCTTACTTTGTGCCTGGCCACAGTCAGTCACAGATAAGTTATCTCAAGGTCGCGAGTTCGAGCCTCGCATTGGGCTTACGTTTTCATCTTTTTGCAGGTTTCGATGTGTCGTTTTGAGGTGGTCATGGTTATGGTTTACGCAACAAAGCAGGGGTCGCCATCTACTTGAATCATATCGCGTGATTCAGGGTGGGTGGGTCAGTCACCAGAGTACCTAAGGATGGGGGTCTCTGGCCGAATGAAATACTCAGAAGTAAAACAAAGCTTTCGCCATGGGCGGCAAAAAAGTACGCGCGCGACCTTGCTCTATAGGGATCGAAACCTAGAATCTCTTGATTCGTATGTAGTCAAGCGCCTTGCCATTCATTGGGCCACAAGGTCGATCGATTTCATATCATATCAAATTGGACATGAAAGAATTCGAACAGGCTCCATCGGAAATTTGAAATATGACCCCCGCGACCGTTATATGGGTGCAGAGATTTAGCCCAAGTCATAGATAGTAAGGTACGTAGAAACGTTATATGGTTTCGGATGTATGGCGGTAAATACATACCTGATACCTATGCACCAAGATATGTACAAGATATGCACAGCGCAAAACGAATTAGCCGCCGTCCTCACTCCCTCACTCAACGAGTAAATCTCGAGCACCCGGATACTGTTCTCCCCAGATACCATACCTACCTAATGCAACTCACCCAAACTGCACGCACGAAAAAGAAAAAACCCCCTTCCTTCACACCGCAAACAAAAACTCAAAAAGTGCACGTGTTCAATCAAGGTCAGTCGCGCGCGCGGGTCAACACGGAGAGTATACGTACACAAGCAGTAGCGAAATAGGTACCGAAATACGTAAAGTCTGGGAACGAGAAGACTCGCGGGGCGGGGGCCCGAGGATGTGTGAATGCATACCATAGACCATATATATTATCTCAATGGCAATGTTAATAATGGGTGGGTGGACTAGGTATTGTCTGGGGATGGAGATGGAGTGGAGATGGAACCGGAGATAGAGACGGGCAGACAATAGCGCGCAGGAAGGGCGTGTGAAGGTCCTTGGGGAGGGGGGAAGGCGCGCGCGCCCGCGCAGCGTGACCCAGTTGTAGTCCTCGTCCGGGACTGCTAGGCAGGTATATTTCGAGACTGGGTATGTTTATGTACATCAAGTTTTTTTTTTTTCTGTGCAGGCACGAAGTAGTCTCTCGTGCAGGTGTGTTGGTTTTGGGCACGGAGGCTAGGTTTTAGGGAACTTGAAGCGAATTAACGAAGATGGCGATATGTATGTGAAAAATAATTGAAGCTGGTTGTCTTGTATTCTTGTTTGTAACTGCTACGCCTAAAAAAGTGCGTGGGTAGGTACTCAGGGTTATAACCCTTTGGGTGTGAGGCGATACGATGAAGTCTACCATACGATATGGGGCGCGTGATCGCTTCAGCACCACCACCAGACTACATATGTACTTACCTCTTCACCACCACACCACGCGCCTGCTCCTCGCAGCGACAAATCTCCATCGCTGCCCCCGCCCTGGTAGACTGAACCCACGCCAGAAAGACACTTCGACTACTCGATTGAGTAAGTCGCCTTAGCGTCCTGCCCTTTCAAGTTAGACACGAGATTGTTTAGGTCGCCAGTCCTGCAAGGGCCCCCGCTGCGTGTACCTGGCAGGATTCGGGAATTTCGTTTGCAACCAGAACCTAGGGAATAGTCTTGGCCTGGGGAAGGTTACCGAGCGTGGGGCGCGTAGGAGGGTGTTGTGCCAAGACTAGGCTTGGCGGTGCTGTCGCCCTCCCCCGCTTTAAAATCTCTCTCCCTTTCCCTCTCCCTCTCCCTCTCCCTCTTCACCTCCACATCCGCCTCCATCCCCACCACCGCCGGCCCCTTCATCACCACAACACAACCACCTCAACCACCCACGATGAGTGATGAGTGGCCTTTTCACATTCATGATCCTTCTGGTCGCCTGGGGAATTCTCGCGGGCACGTTGGACACCCACCAGCTAACATCCGTTCAACAGGCATGATGAGCCCAGCCCTGCCCTTCCACCCACGGCAGGTTGTGTATGTAATGGAGAATTAATGATAGTAGCTCGCTCGGTGGTCACGTACTGCATCGCTCCGACCGTGCCTCGCATAGTCATTTTCGGTACTGGTCAGCACCAGTGCCAGACATGCACTATCCTCCCTCGCCCGTGCCCCGCGGTCAGCGCCACCAGTACCAGAAGCGCACTATTCCAGAAGCGCACTATTCTTCCCCAGCCCCCCCGCGCTCCCACATTGTGAATACCTCTGTCATCAGATGAAGCAAGTTGAAATGAAAGAGAATATAGCTATAGCTATCAAAAGTACCTATGGTTACCGCGGCCAGAGGAGCGGCGGAGCCTGCACTGTTAGCCCTTTGTCGATGGAAGTGTGAATGTATCGATGGCATATATAGCTATAGCTACAAGGCCTGGCAGCTCCATGGAATTGATGGAAGGAAGGATGGAATGAGGGATGTAATGTTTCAATTTTGAAAGAGATTGGGTAGAGGGGGGCGAGGGGCCGAGGAAGTTCAAGGGGATTAAGGCTGCGGAGTCTGAGGGGGAGTGACTGGGGCTGGGGGTGGTAATGGTGGCTCGGACGGGTAGCGGGGGAGGTTCATTGCTACGGGGACTATTACGTTGTTGTGTTGTTATTACCTATCGCTTCTTGTCTTGTGTTATTTTTTATTTCATGCATTATTTGCTCATTCCATTCATTCCGAATTGTGCCGATTTCCCCCGTGGTGTGGTGTGATATATCTACGAGTTTAAATGAACGATGGTATACACTCAGTGATGTGCTAGTCTAGTCCAAAATGCTTCTTTCGACGACAGTCCTGTGGGTAAGGTTTGAAAAATGTTGTTCTCGTGAAAAATGTGTGTGTGTGTAGTAGCCTCGTCCCTGGGTTTGTGCGGATTTGTGGGTGGGCTGCAGACAGGGATGTGGCTCAAGGGATCGACACTAGGCTTTCTTGAATGCACTGCTCCGCTCCATATCTCATAAACCATCACCCTTCAGTCTCGAATCAACCTTCACTTCACACGCCCTCGCCAACAATATCCTCCCACCCGCCCACAAACCTCCTACTCCTCCCCGCTGAGCTCCACGCCCTCCTCTTCACCCACCTCCCCACCGCCGTCCTCTCCCACGCCTCCCGCACCAGCCTCACCCTCCGCGCCGAAGCAAAAGACCACCTCTACAGAGACATCACCGTCACCACCACCCGCCCTCCGAGCAGGGCAAGGCCCAGGCATATAGAACTTCACGCTGCCGCGCGTTCCGCTGTGCACGCCTCAGAAGATCGCGGTGATCAACGCGCTAGTCGCCGCCCTGCCGCGCCCGCTCGCGGAGTACGACATCCCCAGCCCCAGTCCGCACGTCGCACGCTGGGACGCTGAGGGCATGTTTCTCGCAGCCCTCCTGCTCTACCTCATTTCGCGCAGCTGCCGCAGCGTGCTCCGAGCGCTCTGCGTCATGCACGTGTACGACGGCCCCTGGGATACGCCCCTTGCAGAGCACCCGGGCGTGCGCACATTCTGGCGGGTCATGGTGGCGCTGCGAATGGAGCTGCTGGGGTGTTTTGCGCGGCTGCACGCCGTCCACTACCTAGGTACCTTGTTGACTTCACGTGCACGCGCCCAATGCAGTGGTACGAGACGCCGCCCTGGAACAACTTTTACGCCCCGTGTCTCCGCTGGGGGGCCAGGGCCACCTTGCCCTGCGTGGGTGGGGCAGCCCGCTTATCCCCCCAGGGCGGCATCTGCACGGCGACGGCACCATCACCTCCTCCGCACCACTGTGGCAGGCCCTGCAGACCCTCAACCTCACCATTCACCCCACACAGCTTTGCACCCTCTCCTACATACTCGCCCACGCGCTCGCCCTCCACACGCTTGCCCTCACGCCAACCGTCAACACCTCCTACCCACTGGCCCTCCACTTTGTCGCGCGCACCAACCACAGACACAAGTACGCGCTCTGGACCATCAACCCCACCATCCTTGCCCTCCCCCTCCTCCCCGCAAAACCCACCCTTGGGCATCAACAGGTAGTGCGGCATTCATTCAGATAACTTACCCATGAAACCAGAGTAAACAAAAGTCTCCTTCATTCATACCAACAGTTCCTCGGATGAGCTGTTCAATTTCAACTCCTAATTTCGAAAATGATGTAAACAAACAGGAAAGGCCAAATTAAAATCTATCTGTAACAGAAAAAACAAAAGAATTTTTCCGTCACCGGGAATTGAACCCGGGTTCTCAGAGTTCACGTTCGATGAGAGTCTGAAATGCTAGCCACTACACCATGACGGATATGGATGAAATACTGCCTGCCCCTCCCATCGTGAGCTAACCTGTTTCGATGAATACAGACGGCTCCAGTTATACTTCTATCGAATTTCATCTGTATAGCGTGAGAAACTTGCTAAATAGTATCCTTCGTCAATACCATGTGTATGGCTATGAATGGTCATGGGTACATCACTTATATATACCATCTTCAACGGTAATCACCTACAGATGAAATATCGAGTTATAGTCAGTCATAACTTGCATAACTTCATCAAAGAGCCCCTTGATGTTACGGATATTGCGCTCCAGATCGCATACTACCCGTTGCACCAACAGGTGGATCAACCGACATGCTGTTCGTTGCCTGGAATAGCATATAAGGGTAATGAACGTCTACGGCGCAGATCGGCCGCCCGCGCGGTGGCTACGCAGATCTACCGCTTACTGTGAGCTCACGCTGCAAGCATGCGGATCCGCTCGCACCTGCAAATGTCACGTGCGCTTCAATCAAACCCATGACACTTGAGCATGCGATTGCCTCTCGCAGATCAATCCTACACTGTAAATCTGATACAGGTCACTCCCGCTATAAGCTTACGCTTGGGGCATGGTCTGCATGTTTATGACAAGAGCAAGCTTAAATCAAGAGCAGAAACTAGTTTGGGAACTCATTTGGGGGTCCAAATCGTGTGCTTATGAATTTATGCTTATTTCGGGAATGTTTGAATCAAGAGTTATTTGCAGAAAGCTCTCATCTTAGAATCATACGTATGTTGTTCGTTATTATTCCTAGCATAAATGGCTGTCCAAGACGAGTATGTTACAATTTACTTCCATTCATAGCCCACTGCTCGCATATGCTCGTGCAATTCAGCCTTAATTCCCTATGACTTATTATATTGTTAGGGAATCAAGAAGCCGAATACCGTTCTTACCTACAGCAGGAAATGGCAGCAATATGAGGGTGCTGATTTATCTATAGAAAGCTTTGGTAATCCAATATACATAAAATCCCAGTGGTAACAAACATGTATACAAAATAAGAATCGCCGCCGATACTGGCATCGTTAAAGTATTGCATCTAAATTTCGGTGCACAATGATGGCTTGACCTGTTCCCCGTGCCCTAATGCAAGTCACGTATATACGCCCAACATAGAAAGATATATTGGTATCCACATGATTACGACTTTGGGGTATCAATAACACACTGATCGGCAAATTGAATGGCCTACTGTACATGCGATAACGTTGTGGATCACGATCCCACGCATGCAGATGCATTAAAGTCTGACAGTTCGGCACAAGCAACATCAAATAAGGCTAGATAGCCGAGTTTGTGCTGGCGCCAGGTTAAGGAACATCCTAATTACGCCACCTGGTAGAGAACCCTGAATGGTGTAATGGGTACGAAGATGATATTGATAATCGATAAGGATTGCTCGACTTTGGGGCTTTCCGTGCATGCCGAGGCCAACGTCAATTTAAAAGCCGTCGATTAGGGATTATATGAAGCCGAATTATTTAATGTTGATGCGTTATTCTGCTTGCTTTGCCGCCTTACGCCGCAGCACCTCAGCAAAGCTCGACTTGTCGCTGTACTTCCCGATTGTCGCTATCGGCGCTGGCATGGCGCTGCAGCGGCACGGGCCTCAGGGTATTGGCGCTATTGCGACAATCTGCGCCGGGATGGCGCTGTAGTGACAATTCGCGGCGAGCAGGGTTATCCGAGGCTTTTATAAGCTTCGATGGCGATCGATTTGTCGCTGCAGCGACACCGGTTTACCCTAATGTCGCTGCAGCGCCATGTCCGCCCAGATTGTTGCTGCAGCGATAGACTACTCCGATCGGCGCTATTTGCCCTATTGGCATGTATTGTGGTTATTGAGAACCGATGAAAATTAAAAGAAATATGGAACCCCTCACAGTGAGATACGACATTCCAGGTCAACACAATTTGCTGATTGTCCTAGATCTCGTCTGTCATAATAGCAGAAGCACGCCCCCAATCCTACTGATCCCCCACAATGCTATAGGTACTTTGATGACGAACAGAATTTGCTACTAACTGTCGACCTGTAGATCTATAGCTAGCATCCATGTTAACAAGAACAACAAACCCCCTCTTGTGGTGCCATAAACTGAACTAATTTGGCCGCCTTGAATGTTAGTTAGATATAAAAGACTTTACACAAAAACCAAATCAACTACTCATTTAGTCAACTGGCCGACGAGCACTTATTTTTATATTTTAATATTGAATCAACTGAAGGAGAGGATTCTCTACCTAATGGGGGGACCACAAAAGAGAAGAGGGAACAAAGGAGAAAAAACGGTCATGCGAAGACTTAAGCTTCAAACCTCCCAATTAACAGTCGGGGGCGATGACTAATTGAATTATTCTCCGCTGAAACCAGCCCTAAGGACCGCTGAATCCTTTGATCTTAATTGAAACTTTAACTGTGTTCTACGTTCAACGACATACATAGTGATTGTGCTCGCCGTTTTTGAGTTTCACATTGTGTAGCTGTGACACGACATATAATGTACCGTTGTTGGCTACACCCCACCCAGAAATTACCATTCATGTAGTGTCTTCTCGTGGTCAGACCAAAAACCGATATCCGCTGTCTACGGTAATAGTGAAAACTGGCTTAGGTTGTAGGTTGTACAAGAAGACTTTGAAGATATAGATAAACTTTTAGCCAACGTCTTTTAACATTCAATGTGCATTCCATGAATTTGCTTCTCAAGCCTGGTCGCAAATACATTAGCTAATATGTCATAATGTAAGTACTTACATAAGTAAAGTTTATGTTGCTTCCCTTCTATACGTACGTGTTAGAATAACCTACCATAAAGAAATCTATGTAACGTTGCTTCCCCCATTGAAGATAAACAGCAAAATGAATAATGCCGAAGGTTGGCGTCAAGGTTATGAAAAATCCATATTCCATGACTTTCCCATGACGAACCCAAAACACATACAACACAAACATTAAGCGATCAAAAGATTAATAAACACATGCATGCATGTCCGATTTTGATGAAAAGAATCCAAGATCCCATGACTATTCAATATCATAGAAGGTGGCATGCCAACGCACAATATTTCTATGTGCGTGCGTCTATAAAATAGATTACGCCTGTATCCATGTGTACGGGGCACCGCTGCAAAGGATTTCAATTGAATGCCCTCGCAATGTTACACCACACACATGAGGAGAGGGATACACCAAGGAACGGCGATCTATGGGATGACCAAGCTGCATAACGAAATGAATATTGATTGCAATACTTAGAAAGAATGCACCCTCAAATACTACATAAAAGGCCCACCATGCTCCCCACATGTGCATCTCATCTCGACATATCCTCATACACAAGTAAGCAAAGGTGCATCGAACTAAAATTTCTTGAACGTTCAATTCGCTTTAAATTACTTCCACACCTAACATAACATCACCATATCCACACATCACGATACTATGACTGCCCTGCTCACAATGGTTAAATACGAGCAAGGGGAGAGGACCGAAGGTACTCAAGCATCCAGCATAAACAGTGTTTATGGCAAGGATATGTGCGGACCACTGGATGACGAAATTGACACTGAAGACGAGGAGACCGCGAAGGTTGGTAAGGGAACTCCGGGGGAGGTGAAGAAGTGAGTCCCTATGCATGCCCTCACTCAAAGGGTTCTGAAGTCTGAACATTACGTTGTTCCTGAAATGAGTTGGGGGAGCCGAGGAGGGTTTGTACGGGAACTGGGTGTTTATCGTTGGAACTGGAGCTAGTTTAATGATTCTTTTACTTTTCGTCTTTTCTTGAATCTCTAGGATTCACGACGAGCAGATAAATTTCAAGCACGTAGAAGTTCTAGAAGTTCAATGAAAGTTATATGTTCAAATATTTGATGCTGCGATGCGTCACATGTGTGGGTCACGTTTGTTATGCTTAGTGTGTAAGAAAGTTGATATGATTGATCAATCATTGCGTAAGGAAAATTTCCAACTTCCAATCCACCATTTCCTCCTACCAGACTCTGTTTCCCAAACCGCCACCCATCGACGATCCTCCTGTCACTCCTCTTTGTCCTCCCCACCGGCACACCAATCCCCCAATCCAAATCCCGGATAAAGATATAATCCCATCACCAAACAAAGTTGCGTATCAACTCAAAAATAACATCAAATATATAAAAAGTGGTGTTGAACCACGAATATAAAAAAATGAACAAAATATATTCCACTCCCGATCTCAGACCATGTCCACCTTTCGCGCAAGTAGACCGCTAAACTCCGATTCAGGATCCACCAAGTCCACTAGTCGTTGAGGAACGACTAGTAATAACCTCCGCAGCACCCACAATCCCCCCCACAGCCGCATGAGCAGCCATAGCCAAAATTGAAGGAGTAGGGTGGCGAATTATCCTATTAGGCGCTCGCATTGTTGTAGTAGGTGGGGGCCCATGAAGAGTTGCAAGAGCAGTATGCAGACCCACAATAATGGCAAGACATGCTATCTATTTTGGTGGAGAAGCTTTTTTTTGTTTCGAAGAAATAGGTTGCCGCTTTGGAGGCCGATCTTTAAGAACTTTGCTGAGTATAGGAGGCAGCTGTTGGAATATGTTTGTGGGAGTTATCGATGTTGAAAGAAGTGATCTGTGTGTGCAAGAGTGAAGTGGATGATGAGGAGAGAGAGCAAGAGAGGAAGAATCCTGGAGGTATATATACTGATTTCTTGCACGCTCCGTTATGTACTCCAACTTGAAGGGACCGATAATACACAATGAACACGTACCGCAACGCAGCTGCAGGGCTACACCAACTCACAACCAACATTAAATTGAAATCACATTGCAATACACTGAGATCGTCAAAATATGCACAGAAACCGCCCATGGACCCTCCCTCCAACATACTATCCTCATCCGCCCGATAAGGTTCTGATGATCAACTGCCTTTAAAGCAATCCCAGTCACCGTATACTATGACAAAACCCAACATCGGCCCATGAGTC